ATTTATTTGCATGCTATTTCCTGAGCTTTTCAATTAATTAGGTTCGATGAATTGAAATATTTTTTTAATTGTTTTTGTCAGATTAAGCGAATCCCTCTAGATAATCGTCAGATTATGAGACAGCACGCCTAAAACATACATCTTAATCGGACGCGCTTGAGTATTTCAAAATGGCGAATTTTTTTGCACATTATAATAATACCCGCGAGTTTGCGTCAGATCGAAATCGTCAGATTATTGAATGAGAGCTTTTTTTTGTTGCACTCATCACCCCCTCAGAAAATCTGACGTGCTCGATTGAATTTTTTTCATTTTCACTTTTAACCCTTACGTACAACCACCCACATCATGCAAACGATCAGATTGACATTCCAACATTATTAAAAATACGTAGGACATTGATGCTATTAATATCTGACGCGCACGAAAATGTCCATGCAACAGTATTTTTTAACATATTTAAAAATCTATAGCCGCTTCCTCCACCGATGAAAAGGTATATATTATATAACATTTTCTTCTGTCCAATTCTTTTTATGGGAGCGATAGGGAACCTTGCTAACATTTCACTTAATATATAATCCAGAAAAGAAATATATATTGAAAATCGGTAATATTCTTTAACTGACTGAGTCTGAATGTTCGGCCGATTCGTTTGACGACCAGTAATTCTGGGGACCGTGATTTCTGCACCAATTCCATTTGCGATGGCCTTAGCCTGGTTGAAAAGTGTTTTAAATGTGTCCGTGCTAGTTTCACGTTGCCTCTGCAAACTTGGTGTGGTCGTATTAATGAGCTGAAGTGGATAAATTATATCAATTTTAATTGCTTGCAATGATTGGGATAATGGCAGCGTGATTCCTAAAATATCAAGCAGGATTACCAAACTTACGAAAAATTCCGAGGACATTATAGATTGGAGCAATGAAAATGGAGGTATAGCAATTCTGTTTCCTTGATCTTGATCAGCCATCGTTTGCAATAATTGTGGAAGACATGCCAAGACGTCCAAAAACGTCAAAACCGCTTCATGCATTTCTTGCATTTCTTCTCTAAGGAGATGTATTCGTTGAGCTGAGCCACGAAAGAAAGTTGCTACACTTGATATAACTCCTATAGAATTTATTATACTGGGTACGGTGCAGGCTGTACTAATAGCTAAGTTGGGTCGGTGGCTTGCATAGTGGGTAAAAAAGGCTAGAGGCTGAATGCTGGATATGCGTGCCTGAACACCTTTTATTTTACCGCACATGTTGGCTCCTTCATCATATGCTTGACCCCGGTCCAGGTTAAGGTTTTCCAATGCTTTCAAAATATGGTGAGTAATGTTTTCACCAGTAAGTTCAATAACTTCGACAAACATTAGAAAGTCTTCTTGTATTTCGTTTGAATCTACATCGAAATAGCGAATGCAAATGGCTAGTTGCTCGCAAACACAAACATCTGTGGTCTCATCAGCCATGATGGTGAAATATTTTGACTTTTTAATTTTGTCCACTATTTTGTGTCTGATAAGTTCCCCACAGCATTCAATTAAGTCATTTTGTGTCGACTTGCTAATGTAGGAAGCGTTCTCAATACACTTTTTCACGTGTTCATGTAGTATCTCATCTCCAGCATCGATTCGGAACTTTAACAACGCTCTGAAGTTTCCTTCTCCGAGTTCATAAGAACTTTCTAATTCTAAACTACCGTCATCCCTATGACCTCTTAACGGTATATTTTACCTTCCGCATAGTATTATTGTTTTTATAATGGGTATGAGTTTTTCACGATTCTTTTCAACAGTTTTCATTTCCTTGGATCTCATTTGGATAACAACATCCATTAATTTTCCCTCTATTACCATCAAAAAATTTGCTATCACGTTCGCTTGGTGGTAATTCGTGCTCTAGTAGTGTGTGATCGTTTCAATTGCCTTCTTATAATCTTGTCAGTGGTTCCGACACCAATTTTCCAAACTTAACATCATTTGTACCCCCCTTGTACAAACATCATTTGTACTTGTATTTTATTTTACTATTATTTCATTTCGGGTTCATTTTGTTTAATATAATTGTTATTTTCAGCTATTCATTTCTAATACTTCTTTTTCAGTTGTTTCAGGGATTTCAAATCATTTTATATAGTAGACAATGGAAGTCCGAACTAGTGAAATTCATTTTATGTATTCATAAACATGACACCCTTTGTCGACAAATTGTATTACATTTTAGACAATAAAGATCTATCTATCTATCATACTCGTACGTGCGAAACTTGATCGCCTGGTCTGTATCTTTATTCTTCATGAAAGTACAGAAAATCCCCCAAAGCCAACATATCGTTGATGATGACGTTAATGTTTCCCAGGAATAATACCGGTTTTATATACTCGGCATATGATTTCGAATAATTGAGAGCCTGTCCATAACAAAGAATCGACGATGATCTGGGATAACCCAAGTAATTAAGATAAACCGCTCCTATATATACACAGCATCTATTCCCACACTAGGTCATAACTGGTGCGGTGTTCACAATATACTGCTCAGGTTTCATTTTGATATTGATATTTGACGAGAATTGTTAAAATGAAGAGAATACTATTTTGTTTCTTAGCAACGCTGTGTACACTTGTATTAGCGGCACCAAGTGACAATAGTTTTGTAGTGGCTTCCGAAGAAAAATCAAAGGAAAATGAGAAAGACGTGAGTTAATAATGATAATGTCTGTTTTTAAGTGTGGAAGTGAAGTTTCAGCTCGATTTAGTGGTATATATTCAGATGTTCGTGATTATGTCACAAAAAATATCAGTTGAAAATTTGTGAAACTCATATTTCTAGAAGAAATTGCATGTACTCGTATTCCTCAAGATTGAAAAACCCACTCATCCTCAGTAGCGTAAACAAGACATTCAGTTGACAAAATGAGGCAGTGTTCTGAAAAATTACAAACCTCTTACCTATATCTAGAAAACTAGAAGTTATTAGAACGCATGAATTCAAAATATGCGAGTATTAGGCAACTGTCTTTTTTTCAGGATCCGAGTGATTTTACTTGCTTTTGTCTTTAAGTTCAGGTATCTACTCTATATTTTGAAAGATGCTAGAGGAAGATCAACAAGTATCTTGAAGAGTTAGACGATCTCAAATCTGAAATTTCATTGTGAAGAGTTATTCAAATAAAGAGTTATTCGAAACGAAATTTCCCATTCTTTGGGAGCGATTCATCACACATGCATCATCAAAATTTATTATGGTAAAACAAACAATTGAACAGTATTCTTTTCTTCTACAACATAAAAACGAAAACAAAACAGTTAACGTTTGAGTTCAAAACAGAGACCTCCTGTATGATAACTTGCATAGAAGAGAGATGGCTGATATTTCGAGAATGACCATGATGAATGTTTAACGATAACGAAGTTATGGGTTGTTTATTGTGAAAGTTTTATGATTCGAAGTATTTTGTAATGAACAACTTATTCATGACTCAACTGATACAGAATTATTACAGTACGATTCATCTAACTTTGTTTGCTGGTGTGATATAAAACCACTGCAATTAAATATAGACAAATGTCAAAAATTTACTTTTTTCCGAAACAAAAATCCCATTAACCGGCCATATAAAATCAATCAACCAAAACTGAAAACAACAAACACAATCAGAGATTTAGGAATCACTCTCGACCCAAAAATGTCATTTGAATCCCATATTGCAAATATTACTTCTGAAGCACTAAAAATGTTAGGTTTCATTCTTAGATCTCTGCAAATAAATTATCTCTCACTTCAATGAAAATCATATATTGTTCAATTGATAGATCAATAATCGAATACAATTCCACAATTTCGTGCTCTGCATATAAACATATTGGTGTATATGACAATTATATTAGACATTCTTAACTTGAATACTCTGGCTCATAAAAAATTAGAATCAGATCTTACACTAATTCACAAAATAATCAATGGTAGCATCAATTCCACGGAACTTGTCGAACTTATAACTTTAAACGTGAATCCAAGGAGAACAAGAAATTCGGAAATCTTCAAAGTACCCTTTTGTCGCACAAACTATGGCGGGAATGAATATGTAGGTAGAATTTTGAGACTTGCAAATACATACAATGTTGATTTAGAATTTTTTAATCCTTCTTTGGAAACATTTATAAAGACTGAAAAGATTGTAATTCATCAACTTATTTTTACGATTTTTTTTATTTTAGGTATATATTTCTTGTTTGAAGGTGATTGACAATGTTTCGTGATGAATTTCACTAGTTCGGACTTCCATTGTCTACTATATAAAATGATTTGAAATCCCTGAAACAGGTAAAAAAGGAAAATTAAAAAAGAATAGTTGAAAATAACAATTATATTAAGCAACAATAAACCTGAAATGAAATGATNTGAACGTCAATTTGGAAATGATTTTGTCTGATGTTCCAAAAACGGAAATATGTGGAATTGTAGAAATTAGAGTTCGAACATTCATGATGAATATATTACATAATATATTCACAGATTAATAATGCATGGGGTAAATTTTTGGAAAGTGAAGGCATTCTTTATTGAAAGATTAAACGACTACGTCGTTTCGTATTCATGGTTTTATCCATATATTTCAATTTATTTCTATTGGCCGCATTAAAACGTGTGTATTAAAAAAATTATACTTTTGAAACGTTTCTTCTTTAATTTTCAAATTATCGAATGACGTAATTATACACGTTATACTTGAGAAATGTAAGATAATACCCAAAGGTATATTTATTTCCATGTGACTTTGATGATAGAAAAGGAGACTAATATATGATTTCACTTGAAAAATATGCGAATTCACCATTGCTGATGAAGAAGATGAATTGTCATAATGCTTTATTGAAAACAAAACCGTTTGTAACTGGTAACATAAAAAAGTTTGCTATCCGCAAGAATTTTGAAAAAAAACCTCTTGATACGTCAAAAATTAGAAACAAACATTTCGAATTAATTGATTGATTGAATAATAGGTTTCTCTGTTATTCAATCTATCAAAAAATATATTATGTAAATATTGAGTTATGTACTTTATTACATATTTTTCACTATGTGATGAAGAAGATGAAAATTGATGAAGTTACTCAAATAGGAATTTGTTAATGTATGTAGGAAATACTTTGTTGAATATTTACTGAACAGTTTATGAATCGCAACACGTATTTGAATATAACTACAATAGCTTTTTCAGCTGAGCACATTTGTCATGGTTTTTCATCAAGTATCTACGAATTATATCTCAAAAGTTCCTACATTTCTCTGAAAAATTATACAGGGTCGCTGATATGTATGGAAATGGTCGATTATTTCCTAAAGTAAGATTTTCAAAATCTATTACACTGAATAAAAATTAATGAAGAAAAGAGAAATGAAGAAACCTATGTTTTTACCGAATAGAAAGTTTCAATTCTCTTTTCTTCATTATGATTTCCAACCACGTAGTTTAAGTATATTAAGTAAACAGGATCAGTCAAAAAGTCTTGAAGGAATGAAGTTGCTTTTGCTTCAATGGAAAACCCTATATATTATTCCATATTTCAATTCTGCTCAAAAATTCTGGACAAAATTCATATAGCACACCATTTCCTCAACTCAACTGTTTTCGAGATATCGCATTTTGAAAATAACTTTTCACTACGCTCGAATGTATTGAAGAAAACGCCCGAAATGATGGATATTTATTATCGAAGTCACACAACATGGAGTATTATAATTTAATTGTGTTTTTTCACAGAAAACAAAATTTTTATGAAAATAATAGTTCTGTATCTGTAGAGTAGAGTCACATGTGGCCAAGTGCCCATTGTACATCCTCCCGAGGAGTTGTCCTCCTAGGTCATCTTCCATCCTGTCCTTTCCAGGAAGATGAACAGGTCACTGAGAGACATCTCTTATATATCGGCAGATGTAGGCCAAGTCTCGCCGAGCCACATGTGACCCACTGTACATCCTCCCGAGGAGTTGTCCTCCTAGGTCATCGTCCATCCTTTCCTTTCCAGGAAGGTGGACGGGTCACTGGGAGACATCTTCTTTATATCGGTAGGTGTAGGCCAAGACTCGGCAAACACACACTCTCTTATTGAAGATAACTTCGGGCACTCGCATAAGACATGCCTGACAGTCTTCCTGTTCACACATCCTGCATAGAGGTGTGTCCATTAGCCCCATATTATGGAGGTGTTTCCTTTGTTGACAGTGGCCAGTCAGAAATCCTACTGTTAAGCGTAGATTTTTCCAGGTCATTTCCAGATATTTCTTCGGCGTCAGCTTCCCAAGGTCGCCCAGGGTGATCCAGGTAAGATTGGATCCTTTGATAGATAGATAGAATTTATTTATCCTTTGTGCTACATTACATAGATGGGATACGTCAAATGAAATCTTGATCGGATGCATATAAAAATTAATTACAAATAGTGTAATATATATACATATATACAGGGTCCTGCAACAGTCGCGCGGTGTTCCATATCTCAATTTAGGAAACAGATAAAAATCTGAATTTCTATAATAAATTTTGAGGTTATATGAAAGAATTTGATCCTTTTATTACCTACAACTTTGCTTTTCAACTTTTTTCCATAGTAAGTTATTGATATTGTGAGTTACTTAGGGTATCTGGAGGATTCAATTTACCTGGCGCCCATTAAGATCTATTTGAAATTTGCTAAGTTGTTTAACCCACTCCCGTCTCCACTGTTTAGCTTAGCCGCGGATACCCATCTGTCTTATTTGTTACCGACAGATGATTTAGTCTCCTTTTGTGGTTTGTGAGGTGACAATATTGAGCTGTTTCAAAATTCGCCTGACTAGACGCTGTCGAAAAGTAATTTCTGGCATATATGGTAATATCCGAACCGTATATATAATGTCAGGTTCAGACAATAACACTTTCAGCTTCGATAGATCAGATTGTCGGGGAGCTAGCCTATGGCCTGGATCACTGCGGCCTTTTAAGATCTACTGTGATGCTCCTTGGTTGTTAGAGCTCATTGGCTAGCTTGATCTCTTTGATGAGACTCCATAGCTTTGACACTGACCCCTTCATATAGCCGGCAGCCTCTGGTTTCTCTTCCCCGCATCTTGCGTGTCTCAGCCAAGCTATCGCTTTGCATTCGCAGAGCGGTTTCCTCCTTTTCTTGACAGAACCATCATTGGGTTTCTTCCGTCAGACTCATGTTGGCCATATGTTTCCTGTGTCGGCTTCGCCCCGTTAGTAGACCCATCACTACCCTTACAACCTTACGGTTCTGGTTTAGCAGGTCTTCCGTGAATTTGCGCGATAGTTTCTTCATTAACTCTTTCGCCTGCCTCATTCCTGAGAGCTTATTCCACCTATCTATCTATTCGGCTTGCATCGATGTGGTTGTGGATGTCTTTATACATGCTTTCGTTACCCCCCAGGAGGATTCTGGGCCGATCATAGCCTTGGATGCGCCTTCACGAACTAGAATATCTCAATAAGGATTTACAAAAGACAAATATCTCCGAACCGGATATAATGATGTCAGGATAGACAATGCCGCTTTCTGCTTCGATAAGTTTGTTGGGGGTTGAAATGGACACCAATATGTCTTAGCACAATCATGTCGCTGGAATTGCTGAAGCCGCTTCTCAAAAGCTTGGAACACTGTTCCGAACCAGAAAACTGTTCACACCTCAGCAAC